CTCACCTTGGGTGGCTATGGGACAAGTAGATTTCTGTACTGCCCACTGGCCAGAATCTTAAAAGTTTCTATAGGCCTTAACTGGGTTCAGTCACATACCTTAACACCACATTTCTACCACCAGGCTATATTCTTAGAGAAACTTCTGGGAGTGGGGAAGGTGAGCAGACACGCATTCATTCCAAGGACAGGGGAGGGAGTATGGAGCCTGTAGTTGGCCGGATCCAGCTTAAGGGTTAACTGGTTTTCAAGAACTATTTAAGTTCTTGATGACCTCCTCCAGTAAAGTCATCAGTTGCTGGGCAGCAGTGACTAAAGAAGGAACGAGTTTGAATACTTACAAAATGTAAAATAAGAATTTTATTTTCTTTTTGTGTGATGGAGGTCAATAAAAGATAGCGTTGAATGTGGTCCTTGAATTGAGAGCAGGAGAATTTGGCCTTCTAAAGTGCACATAAGATTACAACATGTACGTTTATATCCCAAACTCATGTTTGGGAAATGAAAGTTTAGAATATTTATTTGGACCTCATGAAATCTTATTACTTATGGTCATAAGAGTTCATATTGGGAAGGATGCTCTGTATATGAGGGCTGCCTGCTTTTGGTATTTTTCTCATCCCAGCCAACTTTGCTGAATTTCTTGTTGCACGATCTGTGAAAGTCCCATGGAGGTTCTTAAGATAGTGTTTTGTTCCATAGGCTTACTTCACACCAGTGGGGCACAGCCCTCTTACAAGCTTTGGTTTTTCCAGGTTGCTGATTTGAAGCAGCACATGCCTTTTCCTGACACCTGTAGTTCATCTTGGAAGTAGGTATCCGCAGAGAGCTATACGTGCCATTACTGGCCTGCTAACATCAGTTCCCCGGTGCCCCCATACTCGCCTCCCGGGGGAGGTTAAGAGAAAGAAGCTGAGAACATCCAACCCCAGGCTGCCATAATAAGATGCCACAGACAGAGGGGCTTCAGCAGCAGAAATATATTTTCTTACAGTTCTAGAGGCCAGAAGTCCAAGATCGAAGTGTTGGCTTATGCTTTTGCTGAGAATGCTCTTTTTGGCTGCTCGCTTCTCTCTGTGTCCTCACAAGGTGGAAAGAGCTCTGGTCTTTTCCTCTTTTTTGTAAGGGCAACAGTTCCACCCTTAGAAGCCCCACCCTTGTAACTGCATTTAACCTAAATTACCTCCCTGAAGGCCCCATGTCCAAATATGGTCACCTTGGGCATTAGGGCTTCAGCATATGGATTTGGGGCAGAGGTGGGGCCAGGGATGGGGGTATGAGTCAACACAGTTGAGTCTGTAACACTCATGCATGCGCAGGTATAGCACAGCACGACTTGTGGTTTTGTATTTTCTGGACATAGAACTTGTTAGTACCAAGTTCTGCTAGTGAACAAACCCACTAACATGTGACAGTATCTGTCCCTCATTATTGTCCCTTTTTCTCATGTCGAAGATGCTTCCGTCTAAAATGTAGTTTAGGTATTTGCCGATTAGCATGTGACTAGCGATAGAAAGACTTCCTACACAGTCGTTGTATAAAGAGAATAAGAGGTGTTGTACGTAGGATCAAGAAATCTGTAGGAAAATCTGCACTGTACTTGTTGCCAAAGAGAAAAAAAATCAAAGGGATGCATTTTTCTATATCAAATTGGTAAAAGCAGGAGAAGACAATAGAGGCCAGTCTTGTTCACATTGCGGGGAGGGGACATTCTCATGGGCAGATATGTTGAACCAGCCTGGCGGCAGGGAAACTCGTTCTGGCTCTCCAAAGTCTGAAACCTGCACTGGTTCCTCATTCCATCCACACCACTTTATCTATTGAAAATGTCACAGACATAACAGTAGGGTAAAAGTTACAAATAAGAGATAGTAAATTATGATGCCTTATGAATACTAAGTATTCGTGACATTTGAAAACTGTAGAATAATTTTTGTTGACGTAAGACACAGTTCATGCTATGATGGTGAACAAAGCTTAAAAACACATCGAGAATATTACATTAGGACTCCATTATGTAACACTCGTTACGTAGAATGTGTTCAATCAGAAAAAAACATTCTTTCAGAGAAGCCTAAACCGATACGCCAACGTAAAGACACTTATCTCCGGTGGCAGAATTACTGAGGATGCCTCTTCCTTGGTGTTGGGTTTTTTTTTCCCTTTCTTATTGTCTCTCTACATTTTCCAGATTTCCTGGATTTAACACAGAATATCCCCTCATTTTGGTGGATTAGTTCTAATTAAAACTAAAGCACTTGGCGATTTACTGCCAAGTCAGAAGGCTTAAAGCTTTTTACACTTACCATTAGGCAGTCCACAGCTTGGTTGCGGTAGTCTTCACGTGGCCCCGCCTCTCGTCTTGTGCTGTGAGCTAAAAGGATTAGCAGTGGAGGTCCGGCAGTCTTACTCATGCACAGGGATGGCCAACGGTCGAATTAGATCTGGGTGTGAAAAATCACAAGCCATAGAAATGATACCCAGTCATTTCCATTCAGGCACAATGGCTAGCCTTGACTCTGGATGGTGGGCCTTGAAGGCCTTGAAGCATTCACTTTTTTTCTGTCGTTGCTGTAAGGAGAAAGGGGGGGAAGTAAACAGACTTAATTATTCCTTACAGTGTGTGGGTCAGAGTTGTCCGGTGCCTGAAGATTTACCTTGATTGAATGCCTATTAAATCCCATATTTTATTATGACAGGTTACCCTCCTACTTTTTTTTTTTTTTCAACGTTTTATTTATTTTTGGGACAGAGAGAGACAGAGCATGAACGGGGGAGGGGCAGAGAGAGAGGGAGACACAGAATCGGAAACAGGCTCCAGGCTCTGAGCCATCAGCCCAGAGCCTGACGTGGGGCTCGAACTCACAGACCACAAGATCATGACCTGGCTGAAGTCGGAGGCTTAACCGACTGCGCCACCCAGGCGCCCCACCCTCCTACTTTTAAGAGTAACATTTTAGAGAAATTGGTGTGTAGACTAGCATTTATGAGGCAGCACCACAGGTAATGGGAAATAGGCCAATGCATCACAGGACTCTAAAATAGGAATAAAGAGGGAGAAAACCCGGGTTCTAGGTCCAATTATATAAATAACTTAGAGACTTTAGACAATTTCTTTGTCAAAAAATATATTGATAATAATGCTGGTCCAAAACCTAGATTCACATGGGCCTGACAAAATTTGGAAAACATGAAAGTTAAAATAATTTAAAATATGTAAGACTCATCCTTTCCCATCTTGAGGGCATCCCCTTTGGAAGAGGTAGAGTCCCCTTTGGACGCCAGTGACATGGATACAGGTGGAGATGCAAGGCCGGGGAAGGGGGGTGACTTTGCATGTAAGAACTTCCATTTTCCTTTCTTCTTGCTTTCTGCCCTCCCCCCCCTCCTTCCCCCATTCTCACACTTTTCCTAATTAGAAGGGCTTGGCTTCCAGGCTCTGTTACCTGGGCACAACATGTTGATCTGTTTATCTAAATCCTTGTAATTATAAGGCTTGATCAAACAGGATACTACGTGTGAAAGCAAGTGGAATATAAAACTGTGCTTTATTATTACCTTCTCAACCCCACCACCATAATTATTTAAATCACTTTCTTTCATCTTGTTAGTCTCCATCACCTAAAATACCTTCTGCTTTTTAGCCGTGGTTACGTTTTGCCAAACTATGTTTAACTTGATCTTTACTCTTTTCTCGAATCTTGCTTGCAGATACTATTTTCCCGAAACCTCCTATAAATTCTGTTTGTAACCGATTTATCTTTCCAGTGCTATTCTAATCGTCGTTGATATTATTATTACAATTTTTACTTAAAAAATGACAACAAATCAAAACTAATTTGGAAAGTCCAGTGAAAAAATTAGATGACCACCTTTTTCATACATTTTAAGGAACATTCTATAATAGAACCTGTTTCAGATAGCATAGCCCTAGTTAATAACTGCTAGCAAATATAGGTAATATCACAGTGCAAGGGTTCCTATGAAAATGATGTTGTTGACTGGAAAACCCAGGCTGCTCAGATACAGTAGAACAGGAAATACTCTAACATTCACACAGCACTGGTTCCCGGAGGGGCATGTGATATGATAGTTGGAGGCAAGAAAACCACCTTTATTTACTCCCAGACTTTTATTTGAATAGTGATTTTGTAGTGCTCTGGTAAAAATTGTTATTGGTTAATTATTTCCCCTGCTGATGAGCACTGCTAGATTATATATATAATAAGTACTTTAGTCTTATTTATTTGTTAGGGAAAGATAACGGGAAAAAATAACTTTTGGGATGATGTTTTTAACCTGTACAATGGTATCCATTTATGAATTGAGCTGATGTTATTTGAGTTTCTTCTTTCTTTTATAAACTCAGAAAAAATAAACTGTGGCAAATGAGCCTTGGCAGCTTTAAAAAGCTTTCATCTGCCGTAGGTCACAGAGAGGGAACTTGGTAAATATTTGTGGAGTGGGCTAGGTATTTAGTATTCACAGTACTAATCTTCTTATGTTAATTCGTGAATTCCCTTAATTATTTCTAAATTATTGATCATTTATTTTTGTGATTTCCTTATAAAGGGGAATATTGAATAGATTTTCTTTGAGATGGAAATACACCAATACACAAGCAATAAAATTATGTAAAACAGAAATAAAATAGTAGATCAGCTGGCTTTTTTTTTTTAAAAAAGACTCAGTACTTCATTTCTTTACTCTTTTTTTTCTTTCTTCTTTTTTTTTTTTTTTGCTTCTTATTATTTCTTCTTCCTCTTACTTCAAATACAAAACAGAAAATTGTGAGTGTATCTTAGAATTTGGTTGGAGTGATAAAGGAGAAATGATTCTGTTTACTTGTATTGTTTCCTATTCTATAATGATGTCATGTGCCTTCTCTGTAGTTCATAATTTTCATTTTTCCCAAGGGGAATGCTTAAGGTTCCTGACAGTTGTATCTGTTTGCCATGGTGACATCTCACATTGCATTAAACGTGTCCCTCTGCATTGCAGGAGCTATGCCTGTCCCAGACCAGCCTTCGTCAACCTCAGAGAAGACCAGCTCCCTGAGCCCTGGCCTGACCACCTCCAATGGGGATGGCTCAGAAACCGAAACCACCTCCGCCATCCTCGCCTCGGTCAAAGAACAGGTAGAAACATTCCACTTTTGTGACCTACTTATGGGAGCACTTTAGAACTTGTTCTTTCAGATGAACCCATGATGACTCAGCTACATTGGAAGAAACTTACGATTTTCTGGCCAAATGTTGGTTTCTAGTATAAAAATATTAAAATTGGGTTATAATTGCCATTGGAGAGTGGATTAATATGTTTTATGTTTTTCTTCATGATTTAGGCACTTTTCGTTGAGAAATATTCCACAGGGGGTAAAAAACAAACAAACAAACAAACAAACAAACAAAAACACTTGACAGTCAAAATTCCCTATATGGGTGAAGTTTTGGAAGATTTGGTGATGGACCTTTTATTTAATACTGCTAAATGCTGAGGCCAAATAATTGGTCTTTAGAAAAGATAAAGTCTAATCAACAATCAAAATATATCCACAAGTGTAAAAAATTAGTATGTGTGACAGCAGATGAATTCTGTGTTGGGTCAAGGCGAATTCGTCTTTCCAGTATCTCTGAGATAGATCTGGAAGAAATGTGTTTTAGAACTTTCCCTGTAAAACTAATTAAAATCTGAATGCTTCTTCCCCCGACATTACTTTGCCTTAAAATGAATAAGTAAATAAAGTCTGAAGTCTTAGATTAAAACAACAACAACAACAAAAAAACTGTTTCAGAAAAGGTATGTTTCTTGTAAATAAAGGGTGGCAAATAATCAAAGAAAGCTGGAAAACCAAGATTTTTTTCTCACTTCTTTTAGCATGTGCTAGAATATAAATCATAATTTTTTAAAGAAATTGAAAAAGCATCCTGTGTTTGGTTTATATGATTCAGGGATGCTGAATAAGCAGCAGAAGTGGCCAGGCTATCAATGGAGTAGCTGAGGAAAGATCCATTGACAGAAGGGATCGATGATGCTCTCAGTCAAAATGTGCCCTCGGGTCAGGAAGTGTATGACTAAGTGGGTACACAAAGCAAAGTTGAATAGAGTAATTGGATAATCTGGTTTTTGAAAATGGTCTGTAAGCAGGAAATTGAGGCACAGGCCGTATTCCTTGATGAGTTTGCTACCAAAAGCACACTCATGAGCGTGCTGACTCTTTTTAAGGAGTAATTGAAGAAAGGAACGAAGGTTCATGCCAGTTCCCGTACTCAAGATAGTGCTTTGTTAAAGTTGGTCTATGCCATGGTTTCTTACTCAGGTATGATCTGGAAGTCTTTGGGCCAGTAACATTGGACTAGTGACAAAATATAAAACAGGAGGAATAAACTGAACAAGAAAATGACAAGACCTGTCTGATGAAAAGTATAGCATTTTATCAGAAGACATAAAGTAATTAGGAATAAATGGCAAGGTATGCTATGATCCATAATAATATCACTTTCTCCCAAATAAAGGTATAAACTTCAGGCTATGGTAATAAGGATCTTACGGCTGATTGTCTCTTTGACAAACTGGGATAAACTATTGTAAAAATTACATGGGAAGGATAAGTATACGAGAGTTACAAGGAAATTTTTGGTAGAGAGATTTTACCTTACCAAACATACTCATCACTATAGTATCCAGTGGGTCCAAAATGTTCTCTCTGTAGGACATAACTGAGGGTTCAGAAACACAAGGACACATTCAACATAAAATCGTAGAAAAAATAGGCCAAGAGAAAATATGTGCCAAAAATATGATGAAGTGTTGATACAGTTAGTATATTAATGCTTCCTAATGTTGATGAGAGAAAAAGAAATACAGAATAGAAAACTAGGCGAAAAATATGAACAACAATTCACAGAAGAAAAATGCAAAAGACCAATGAATACATGCAAATGTTTTATACTCTACTGATCAGGGATATAAAATTCAAGATAGAAATGATTTTCTTTAATCTACCAAACAGACAAACATTAAAAAATAGTATATATTGTAATCTACCTAAGGGTTAAGGTTTGAGGAAATTCACATTCTTTGTCACTTCATATGGAAATGTGTATTGCTGTAACCTTTGTTTAAAATGAAATGTTGCTATGAATTGGCATTTATAGTGTCAGTAGCCTTTGATTTGTCGTGCCTAGACATAGATAGTATAGAAATGGGTGACCTAGATCATAAGGTTTTATGTATATGGGTGTTTATTGAAAAATTATCTAGGATAGAAAAAATAGAACAATAATGATAAGTTGAAAAGCAAGGTGTATCTTTTTTAATGTTTATTTTTGAGAGAGAGAGTGAGAGAGCACGAGTGACTGGAGGAGGGGCAGAGAGAGAGAGAGAGAGAGAGAGAGACACAGAATCCGAAGCAGGTTCCACGCTCTGAGCTATCAGTACAGAGCCCGATGCGCTGCTCAAACTCATGAACCGCGAGATCATGACCTGAGCCGAAGTCGGATGCTTAACCAACTGAGCCACCCAGTTTCCCCAAGGTGTATCTTTTATATAAAAGCTATATCCTTTTTATGTAGTTATTAATAAAATGAGTTGGAGCTATATATTATATCTTTGAAAAATTGCATGAGGACTTTAAAAAACAACATAATAAATATTTTTGTTTATGTTTATGAACATCTAGAAAAGTGTAGGAGGAAATAAATCAAACTATCAACATTGGTTACCATATGTGTTTCCGATTAGATGGAGGTAGAGTATAGGGAAGACAATCAAAAATGAGAGAAAGAATTGGGAGGTTGGAATAGATATTAGTTGGATACTAGGAGATGCTACTTCTGCTGAGATAGTGATGTTTGTAGTCGAGAGAGTGGATAAGCTGCTTGAAGCAAAAATACATTGCTATAAATAACATGGCCTCTCCAAATCCTTGGTGAGGATTTAATAAAAACGTATTGTGAAGAGTTTTTTCAAATAATTAAAATAAGTCCAGCATTCATTTTTGGATGGCAAAGGTTAGATTCTTTGTGGCAGGAAACTAATGTGAACAGGTGTGAGAGTCTGTCCTGGAAGCCGAGTAGAGGATCTGGAAGCCTCCGCATCAGAGGCTCAGGCATCATCAGGTCCTGTGGGCAGCATGTGCCCATGTTAAGGCCAGATCCACCAGCAGCCAGGTCCATGGACTTCCTTGGGTGGCCTGGTGCAAACAAGCAATTGTTTTCTTCACTGAAGATTTTCGTCCTAAATTATTTTTAAGGTTTGCATCATTTCTTTTCCTGAGGTCTAGGCTATTATCTATGGAGCCAAAGCTAAGTTAAATATATCTGAAAAAAAAATTAGCTGAGATGAAAGAAAACTGACTTTGGCCATTAAATGTCTTTTATGATTTTTAATAATTATGTACATAACATTTATAAATATGTTCATTTGACTATTGCTTGCCGGGTCCTCTTTGGTGCTAATGGGAAATAGCTTTCCTGACTAAAAGTCCTATTTATTAAGTTAGAAAGTTTGAAGGAAGAAATTTTATGGCATCACTCTTATGTGCTACCCCAGTGCTGTCTCCTTGGACATCAGTTCTGCAGGAGAGAAGTCATTCTTTATCACAGCAGGCATATGTTCTGAGCTCACTGCCAAGTGATAGGTTTCATAATTTATTTACTCATTCATTAAATGTATTGAGCACTTTATATATGCAAAGTACAATAACGATGAAAGAAATACATGTATAAAGAACACTCAGTTTGACAGTTTATTGGAATAAGTTGTTATGGAGAGTAATAATGTAAGTTTTTAGACAGGCAGTTAACATTGCATAGAAATAAATTCTGGTTTATAACCATAGAATGAACTTAAGTCATGCCAAGCCCTATGTCATGAAATGTGTCCACATGACATGTATGGCATGACTAAGATATTTGTAATCTGAGTCCTAGAGACCTTGAACCCAAGCAGTCATGGGTTACTCCATGAAAAGGTGTTCATTGATTTATTTCTTTGTTCTAATTTCCCATCTTGATTGCTTTTAGCTGGTAAATTTTACACTTTCATATTAACATAAATAGAACCATGATTTATGTTATACTCTATGGGTAATTTTCTGTATTTCAGACACATCTGTCTCATTTCCAAGTTATCAAGTTTCTCTATGGGGCATTAAGAGAGAGGGACCTAATTCCTATTTCCTCTCCTGTAAACAAGCGTCCTTCATCAGAAAGGGGGGGGGTGGATGGAGGACAGGCATGTGATGACTTCGTTCATGTGATTTGGATACATAACTTAGAGGGGGTGATTGATAGCCATTCATTATATATAGCAGCCCCAAACATGGGGTGTCTTAAAGGGGTGAGAACAATGAAGGGATTCTTTTTTAAGGATGGTAGGTATCCCTATGATGATGGCAGTGACTTATAGAAAGTGAAATTTATGACGCTTGAAAGGGGGGGAAATAACAGGGAGAAAAGTTACTGGGTAGATGAGAGTGAATGGATCTAGTGCATCAGAGAAAAGAATGGCTTTTGGAACAAAGACAGTTCATCAATGAGAATGCAAAAGAGGCAAAGTACATGGTCTCAGGTCACCCGATGGCTTGGTGTTGGAAACTGCGGTATTTCTTCCCCTCTCTTCAGATGAGCACAGTCATCTTGCTTGAGTTGGACTTGTTTGGAGTTAGCTGGGCTAAGCAGAGGTGGGGAGGGGAGGCATTGGAGATGAGGGATGCAAGACAGCCATTATAATGATGGATCTTGGAAGTGACATAGAGTGGAAGCGGGGAAAGAGAAATTGTTAGTGACAATGCATTCGCAGTGAGTGTGCAGATGGTGATAGCTTGAGAGCTGTGTGCTCAAAATCAAGAATTAGAAAGTCATGATTGTTAATGTTTAGACCTAGGTTGTGACTCTTTGAGATGAGATCAAAATGAGAAAAGAGAGCAAAATTTTTTTGACTCTGGGAAAGGTGGTGGGGAGTCATGACAATGCCAGGACAGTGGTCTCCAGGAGAAGGGACAGTGCTCGCATCGCCCATGTGGAGGGGTGTGACTGTGAGAAGCACAATAATGTTCGCTTGTGGTTGCCTAAGAGTAGTAGTCCTGGTGTTTGCCCATGTGTTTTCATTGTTTTTAATTGTCACAGTGCTGGTC